GTGTGGTTAGAATGCCTGCCTTTGCAATGGAGATGGTCTGCTGCTCCATGACCTCGTGGATGGCTGTGCGGTCGGACTCAGCCATCTTGTCAAACTCATCAATGCAGCACACACCCTGGTCAGCAAGCACGAGGGCCCCACCCTCTAAGGTCAGTTCTCCAGTCACAGAGTCTCTCAGCACAGCTGCTGTAAGCCCCACTCCAGAGGAGCCTCGACCTGTTGTGTACTGGCCTGAATGGCAGGGTCAAGAAAACAAGAAACAAGCAGGCATGTTTAGGAAGAGGGAAAGGAACAAGGAAAAAAACAATAGGGGAAAATACACAGGTAATAGGGATAGTGAGGTGAACCCACTGATTTACTCTACTTACCTATGCCTTCCAGAGTAAAGACCTATGGGGTACTGGTGCTGGCAATATCTCCCTTCACCAACCCTCTCCCACCTTCCAAATCCCCAAGGAAGAGAATAAACATGGCGATCCCATTCCTGTTTTCTACATTTACTTCTCTCAAGAGTCTGATTACTCACTGCGGGGGGCCAGGCGATCAATGTAAGAAAGGAGCTGAGATTTAGCGACACCAGGATCCCCCATCAGACAGATGTTGATGTTGCCTGGAAGAAGTGAGGGAAGCCCCTGTGACTATTCTTTCAATGCAAGCTGCCCAACAATAGAAAAAAATACTTTTGAAGTTTGCCCCAACCCCCGTCCCCAGAATTGTTTCTTCTGATTTCTTCCTGTGCCCATGAAGCCAAGATGCCAACTCTTTTTATGATCTATAGGACACTAGTTCTCACCATTCTTTCTTCCAAATGCCATCCCTTACCCCGAATCTCTCCCTCTTCCTCTTACCCCTGATTTTCATGCCCCGAGGAGACTGGTCCACACCTCCCACCAGGAGCAGCAGCAATGCCTTCTTCACATCTTCATGGCCATATATCTCTGGAGCAATGGAGGCTGCCAGCTTTTCATAGAAATCCTCCTCTGAGAGAAAGCAAAGATTAGGGGGGGGAAAGTGCTAGGAAGACACATTCCTGGGTTTCCTCCTCGCCCCTCACCTGCAATTTGCCTCAGTTCCTCCCTGCTCAGCTCTCCAGTCCCAGACTCATCATCCTCACTCTTACTCATCTTCACAATCCGATGGGCTTCCAGGTAAGTTTCTGAGAGTAAACCCTTGAACAGGAAAAGGCCAGGATGTGAATGAAGTCCCTGTAACTTGCCCATCCACACAATTCCTTCAGGAGTACCCTACAAAACCCTTTGTTCTATTTTGCTTTGCTGTTAATAGTTTTCTCTGTGGGTGTGTGTGGTGAGAGTGAGTGAGCAACAGGGAAAAAGGAACGTTTCCTCATTTCAAACTCCCTCTCTTACCTGTATTACCTGTCGGAACTCAGAGCGCAAGATTGGCAGGAAAATACCAGTGACACTGACATGGTCTCCAGGCTGGGCAATCCGTGTGTTCTCTCCTTCTACCAACACCGTGATGCTACGAGGGATATTTCCCACGGGCACTTGGTCACTCTATGGGGGTTAAGGGTGTACACACAAGGAAAACGAAACATAAGGCCCCCAAGGATCTAAGTTCCTGCCTAGGCATCCCACTCTTCTACTTCTTGGCCCACCCAGCATCAGACAAGCCAATAGGAATATGGAAACAGATCCCCTTTACCTCTTTCCACCTCAATCAAAAAGTTTCACTTGAACCTGCCTCCTGTTCTAGGTGACTTCTCTACCTCACCTCTTCTTTTATTCTTTCTTTTCTCCACTCTGTGAGTGACTACAGCATTCATATTGATTCCCAAGCTGTACCTTTGCTGGGCAACATACCCCAAACTCACATGTTCTTGCATCTTCATCTCCTGGAACTTGATGAATTTGGAGCCACGTGTCTGTAGATACAGCCGCCCCCCTGAGCGATTGGTCTGGCACTCTTGGCTTGGGCACATGATCAGAGGCATGAAAGTGGGAGACTGGATCTAGAATGTAAGAAAGCACCAAAGGAAGTCAGAAGAAAATGAGCCACTTACAGTCAGTCACTTTAAATCACGTTTCATCAAACTGTCAAGAACATCTTGAATCATTCCAGCAAATATCAACAGGCACAAAGAACACAAATAGATGAAAAGACCACTACACACCAGAGAAAGAATGAAAGGCGAACACACAGGTGTGTTTTACAAGACACAGAGAAAACACCAACAGACAAAATTCTTACAAAAACCACTAGCAAAGCTAAGTGTGTTCCTGTTCCTTATTTCATACATACCGGCTGGTAGGTTTCTGCCCCACATTGGTCACAAGTATAAGTGGCCACCACCATTCTGGGTTTAACTTCAGAGACACGAGTGACGATTCCACGCACAGTTACCAATTTCCCCACGGAGTCAGCCCGTACTTCCCGGATCACACGAGGCTTATTACTACTTGGGCCTTGAAAGTACAGCTCACTAAGGGAGAAAACAGTCATTAGTAAGGTTCTGGAGAACAAAGTCCCACACCTTTCCCCACCGAGACCACTCACAATCTACGCATGAGTTCGGGAGGGTACTGGTTCTGTGGGCTTCGGGCTGCCCCAGGGTCCCGGCTCCGCTGCTCCATCATCAGCCGGTGCTCAATGTAAACATCCAGAACATCTTTATTTCCCACCTATAGGCAGAGGGAGGGAGGTGAGAAAAATGAGTGGCAGGATAGGACATAAAAGACATCAAGCAGAAATTACTGTCCTCCTTTCTGCCAGTTTAGAAAACATTAATACCTGAGAAAGTTCCTAACAGAAATCTTAGTTTCTTGCCCTGCATTTTCTTGGAAACACTCACCTCCCTCTCCTTGTACTGAGGCAGCAGCTCTTGCACAGACTCAGCAAAGAGTCTTGCATAGCGCTTAGTGTTCTCACAAATTGAATCCACCAACTCAGGGTCCTCCTCTGCCACATCATCTAGGTCTATGTACATTGCCACTTGTTCCCGATGTGCCAGTTGAACCTGGGGTGGGAAGAGTCAAGAATACCTCAAAGCCAAGTTTACTGTGCTCACTCACCACCGTATACATGCAGGGAACCATTACTGTGAGCTCAGGACACAGATTCCAGGCCTCCACAGGAAAGAAGGAGCACTGTGAGACAGCAATACTCACTTCTTAGCTCCTAAAAGACAGCCTTTGATTCCTAAAAACATCTGAATTATCATAAATGTATTATTACAGTCACTTACCAAGTACTGCACTCAACATGTGTCACTTACAGACAAATGTACTTGCGGAAATAAGCCACGCCACCTCTTACAGCTCCTTAAGCAATCGCCCCACTCCCCTCTAATCTTGGACTTACCAACTGGTTCCCATATTTGAACTGCTTCTTGCCAAACTCATCATCCTGGTAAAATTCTTGTAGGAATTTCTTCACCTTTTCTATAAGATAAATGTAAAACCATGAGGAGCAACTTTCCTTTCTTTCAGATACCTTACTGCAAAAACCCTAATAGAAATACAAGAAACATACTTTCATTTACATGACTAATTAGTCATGTAGACATTTAAATCATCCTACATAATCTTCCCCAAACTAGGCAGAACTCCTTCTCACAAGTCTATTTTTACCTATAGAAGAATTAGGGGAACCTGGCAGTTGCAAGTAACACCCAACACCCTCGCCCTAGGGGAATTCCAGTGTCTGCCTTCATTAGACATCTCAGTGCTCTTTCCCAAAGGCCTCCCACTCCCAACAGCAAACTCAAGTCTCGAGGTTCTCAGCTTTCCTTCTATACTTATGATCCCCCGTTTTCTTTCGGACCTCTAAATCTATGCCACTATTCCCATCCTCCACCCCCACCCCCACCCCCTCTCCCGCCACTGCTTCCGCTCTTAGTAAACAAAGAAGCACATGGGCCCAGATGCTGCCGCCTCACAGCCCGGGATTCCTCCGCCCAGAGCAGGAGCCGGTCCAACGATTGGCCGGCTGGTCTAGGGCCTCTCCTTCGTCTCCCCTTCGTCCCCCGCTACCTCCTCTAGGCCTCGCATTAAAACTCCTAATTCCAGGCACGCCCCCACTCTCGGGACCTCTCTCCGGGGCTACCGCGCGGAAGGACACTGTTTACACACGACACTCCCACCAGAAGCGTCGCGCAACTTCCGCCCGTCTTCACTTCCGCTTGTAGGTTGGCCTAAAACGGCCAATCACCGAGCACAGCGGTCCGGGCCAGCCCGCCCCCGGGGCTTCGATGTCTCGGGAGGACGCGGCCACTTGGAGTGCCTAAGAGCGCGGAAGGTAGCGGGACTTGGGGTGCTCGACTCTACACCCAGTAAGGGTCTCCTGACGTCTCAGTCTCTGCTAAGCGCGACCCTCCCCACTCGAGCCCCCAGCGAGGCCATCCGCCTTCCCCACAACCATCCTCACAACCATCCTCACTCTTTTCCCGGACACGATCACCAGCTCTTCTCCGACCTCAGGTCTCCGCGCGCCTCTCAGGCACCGTGTGCCTCAGCTGCACTGCCTCTGGACCTGGGCTCTGGCATCGCGCGCCAAGCGGCGCGCAAGGACCCCAGCTCATAAGAACATGTGTTGGCCGGGAAGGTTCCCGCGCCGAACGCCCCTTCCAGGCTTGCAGACCCTCACCTTTCTCCAGCGCGTAGTCCTTAAGTGCCATCGCTGCTGAGTGCTGTGCGGCAGCAGTTGGCGCGCTCAAGGTTCTGTCTCTCCGGTAGCAGCGATCGTTCCCGCGGCGGACTGCGGCTGACCAACCGAAATTGGCGCGAAACGCCGCCCAACACGTGACCGGCGCCGCTGCTTGCGGACCAATCCGAGAGGAAGCCCTCTGTCCTTCCCTCTCGCCGCGGGCTCCAGCCTCAGCCAATCACCGGGCGAGCCTGGGCTGAGTGACGGGGATGCTGCGCGGGGGTCGAGAGGGACAGGTTGGGCGAGGCGGGGCAGGCGCCGGATTTCCCGCGTCAGAAGCGAGTCGCTCTTAAAGGGCCAGCCCACACACGTCCTTTTGTTCCGGGGCTGCCAGGCGGGGCAGGCTTTACTTTCGTCTTGTGTACGCAGAACGGCCATGATTTCCCAGTTCTTCATTCTTTCCTCCAAGGGGGACCCACTCATCTACAAGGACTGTATCCTTGACCCACGGGTCCAGCGGGGAGGGGCTGGGTGGGAGTAGTGTCCCAGAGCCAGCCTGTATCGTTGGCTCCTTAGCTGTCCTTCAACCCGTCAGTCCGCGGGGACAGTGGCGGCCGGGATGTGGCTGAGCTCTTCTACCGGAAGCTGACGGGACTGCCCGGAGAAGAGTCCCCGGTTGTCATGGTAACCACGTGGGGTCGGGGAGTGGTATTCCAGGCAGGCTCGGGTAGTGGTGGCGCCTCCTCCCACTCCGGGCTGCGTCCTTGAGAGCTTCTGCGTGGGAATGGGTCGGGTGGGGAGAGGCATGCATTTCTCCAAATAATATGGAGGGAAGTTTATTGAGCGCTAATAATATAGCAGGCACAGCTCCTCACACGTCTCAGTCCGTAGCACCTCAGGGGTAGGAACTGTCATGAACTCCACTTACACTTGGGAAACTGGGCCCTAGGGAGGTTTCTAGTTCGCCCCAAGTCGCACTGCTGGGAAGTAGGGGAATCAGGATAGCAGCCCAGGTCTCGTCATCCGTTACGCACAACTCTTCCTGACGCGTTTTCCCCTCTTCCCCCCGCTTTTGCTTTAGCACCATGATGGCCGTCATTTTGTTCACATCAGACACAGTGGTCTCTATTTGGTGGCCACGACTTCAGAAAACATTTCTCCCTTCAGCCTCCTAGAGCTACTCTCTCGGTGAGGAAGGCAGGGCTGGGCAGCTGGGTGTTGGGGTCTGAGAGGGGGAAGAGACACACACTCCATTCTTTTTCCTCAGGTTAGCCACTCTCCTGGGCGATTACTGTGGCTCCTTGGGTGAGGGGACCATCTCCCGTAATGTGGCTCTTGTCTATGAACTCCTGGATGAAGTATTGGTAAGGTCCAAGGATATCCCTTATTGTCCCTGTCCCCTGAAGATCTATTCCTTAATTGTGAGGATAAGTTTACTCCTTTTTATCTCTTGTCTCCACTGGCCACCCAGAGATTCTTCCTTTGTCCTTAGGATTATGGCTATGTACAGACCACATCCACAGAGATGCTGAGGAACTTCATCCAGACTGAGGCTGTGGTCAGCAAGCCCTTCAGCCTCTTTGATCTTAGCAGCGTTGGCTTGGTCAGTGGAGGGAAAGAGGACCAGGAGGGAGAACGGTTGGCAGGGAGTGTCAGACCTTGAGGACTGATTGCTTTGGGTGCTTTCCAGTTTGGCGCAGAGACACAACAGAGCAAAGTGGCCCCCAGCAGTGCAGCCAGCCGCCCAGTCTTGTCTAGCCGCTCTGACCAGGTGAGGGAAGGCTACACAGGTTTAGACCCTCTGATTTTTTTTAAAGGTATTCTAGAGTGCAAGATCTCTGCATATCTTTCCACCTCTCCTAGATCTGGATAATCCAATCCCTTCCCTTACCTGGTGTCCCCACCCAGGCCCTAGCCTTCACTGCTCTGTCCACTTTAGAATACAGGTCATTCAGCTTCCAATCACCCAAATGCTCTCTCTTCCTCAGAGCCAAAAGAATGAAGTGTTTTTGGATGTGGTCGAGAGACTGTCTGTACTGATAGCATCTAATGTAAGTTTGGGCCCCCAGGCCTGGAGCTGAGGACAGACAGTATCTGGGAAACATGTTGGGGAGGTGTCATCTCTGGGCATTAACCTCCCTGCCACTCTCAGGGCTCGCTGCTGAAGGTGGATGTGCAGGGAGAGATCCGACTCAAGAGCTTTCTTCCCAGTGGCTCTGGTGAGAAGTCTGCAGCTTGGGCTCAGGGTTGGGTTTTGAACAGGCTCCCTGGTGGTGTATATGATGGTATTTGGTGACCTCTTCTGATGTCCTCTTCTCTGACAGAGATGCGCATCGGCTTGACAGAAGAATTTTGTGTGGGGAAGTCAGAACTCAGAGGTGAGGAGAAAGTGGGTCTTTCTTCTTTCGTTTAGGTCACTGCCAGAAGTTTCAAAGAGAGAAAGAAGTTAAAGATGGATCCCCACCCCACCCCTGCTCTTCTCTCCCAAAAATATGGGTTAGCAGAGGAGTCTTTCGTTCTTTCTAGGTTATGGGCCGGGAATTCGGGTGGATGAGGTCTCATTTCACAGCTCGGTGCACCTGGATGAGTTTGAGTCTCATCGAATACTCCGCTTGCAGCCACCTCAGGGCGAGGTCAGCATGGGCTGGCTTAGAATAGGCCAGGTACCCAAGGGAAGGGAGGCAGTTCAGGTGTGAGGAGACCAAACTGACCTCAGTTCCTCTATCTCAGTTGACTGTGATGCGGTACCAACTCTCAGATGACCTCCCCTCCCCGCTCCCCTTCCGGCTCTTTCCCTCTGTGCAGTGGGACCGAGGCTCAGGCAGGTGAGAACATTTCCCCTGTTCTAGAATTTGTCTGGAACCAAAGCTAATAGATATATGTTTCCAAGATTTATTGTGGAGGGATGGTGGTTAGTGGTATAGGGTACAAATTAGAAAAAGACACCCTCCTCCCAAGTGGACTCAGTCAGCCCCATGAGCACTTGTGACTAGTGGAGTTGAGTGTATTTCAGCCCTTCTCTCTCCTTCTTTCAGCACATGTATGGGGACCTTCAGTGGGGGGTGGTGAGATGCCAGTAGGATGTGGCCAGAGTAACAGTATTATACCCTCTTACCCAGGCTCCTGGTTTATCTGAAGTTACGGTGTGACCTGCCCCCAAAGAGGTATGAGTGGGGGTAGCCAAGATTAGTTCAGCTATGGGAGGGGTAGGAGACGGCCCAGACACCTGTTGCTGTGGCCTGCAGATATAGCCACCAGCTGTGGAATCAGTTTAGTTAGAGGCTCAAGAGTTTGGGAATGGGGTGGCACTTGTGCTGAATTCCAGTTGTGACAATAAAGTTGAGATAAGTCACTAACTTTCTGGGGCTGACTGTTCCTTCCGTGTTTTCAGCCAGGCTCTCAACATCAGGCTGCACCTTCCTCTGCCTCGAGGGGTGGTCAGGTTAGTGTGTATGCATCGTGGGGTCTTGGGTGCTTTTACTAGCTTCCCTGGACAACAGAATGGCATTGGGGAGGAGAGTGTATACTGTGAGGGTGGAACTGGCCTGCCCCTGAGGCAGTCAGGGGCTAAGCCTAGCACCTTTCCAACAGCCTGTCTCAGGAGCTAAGTAGTCCAGAACAGAAGGCAGAGCTGGGAGATGGAGCCCTTCGCTGGGACCTGCCTCGGGTACAAGGAGGCTCTCAGCTCTCAGGCCTTTTCCAGGTATCAGCTGCTGATTTCTCTGAGGCCCTCTTTTCCTACCTCCATTTTCAGCCCCAACTCATCCCTCTTAATATAGTTGCTGCATCATTCCCAACAATACGGTCACCTTTCTGGCCCTTTGGCTTCCCTGCCCACTTCCTCTGTGCCTTCAACATCCCTCCCTCTGCCTCTATCCCTCACAGATGGAAGTCCCAGGTCTGCCTGGGCCTCCTGGTCAAGGGCACTCCACCACAGCACCTCCTCTGGGGCTGGGTCCTGCGAGCCTCTCCTTTGAACTTCCTCGGCACACGTGCTCTGGCCTCCAGGTTCGCTTCCTCAGGCTGGCATTCAGACATTGCAGCAACACCAACCCCCACAAGTGGGTGCGACACCTCAGCCACAGTGATGCTTATGTTATTCGGATCTGAGGCTCCCCAAAAAGGACACGGGCCGCCTGTGACTATGGAACTGGCTTGAAGAGTCCTAAGTCCTAGAGACCATGAGGGCTCAATAGGTTAGATCCTCCCATGGTATCGGACACAGGAAGGACTAAGGTGAATCAGAACTTACAAGTCAAACTTTTATTATGAGGAGCTGCCTGTACAATATTTAAAAAGGAAGTTAAGGTGAGGGAAGCAGATAACTACTTTATCCAGTGAATGCACGTGTGTGTGCGCACGCGCGTGTGTATGCAGAGAGAGAATCTGGGCGAGAATAGGTTGGCAGATATGTGATAGCATCAAGGTGCAGGCTGAGGGGAGCCTGATCCAGGGGGCTGAGAGCCATTAGCCTTTGGAGTCCCTGGAGCTGGAGGGGGGCTATCTCCAGTTTCCTGTTTTCCCCCACAGAGGGCACTGCCCCCAAGTGGGGAGGGGGCTGAGGATTGGGGAGGGACTGGGGAAGGATGGGAGGTGGGGCCTCCTTTGCCATCCCCTGTTGGGGGAAGAGAGACCACTATGTACTTCTGGACACTGCCAGGGCCAGAGGGGGCAGTGCTGGGCGGTGCAGCTGTGGCAGTGGAGACCAGCTTGACAATGGGCTGCACGCTAGGGACTGTGGTAGTGACAGGAGAGGTGGTGGTGGAACCTGAGCCAGGGGCTGAGGTGCTGAGGGACAGGACCTGGGGGAAGAAAAGAAAGTCAGTGTCTATTGCCTTTCGTCCTCCCCACTCCCTGGGCCTGGGGTAATACCTCACTTGCTCCAGCCAAGTAATTCATCCTCTGATTTTGCTCAGGAGGAGAAGCTATGGCCTTCTGGGCCCCTGGGAAGTGCTCCTTCTATCTTCTGTGTTTGGGCCCAGAGGTGACTGGGCTCTACTTTGGGGCCCCTCTGAGTGTTCTGAGGTAACCTTAGGCCCCTTGGTATAGCACTGTGACATGCTCCCCACCATCTCTGGTCTCATAGGGCTCCACATACCTGTTGAGTGGATGAGGCGCTAGAGGACGATGACATTACAATAAACTTGGTTGGAGGAGGGGAAGGCTGAGGTGGAGCAGCAGCTCGTGCAGACACCAGTGTCTGGACGGGCAGTGCGATGGAGCCAGGGACCTTCAGCAAGCCAGGGGTCCGAGGGCCAGGCTGAGGGGCCTGCGAAAGTGTCAGTGTGGGCCGGGGCTATAGGAAGAAGAGGCAAAAAGAAAATGTCAACATCGAAAAAAGAAGGACTCTTCTTACTCCTCAGTTGGTCTCACAGAGGTTGGGGGCCTAGCTGCCTCCAAGCCTTTGACTCAGAAGACCCTGGGTTTTGTAAAATTCGTGCCTCAGCATGGGTATGCCTGATTCTGCACCTTATGTAAACCAAGGTGTTGTCCTCCCCACCCTCATTTTTCTTCATTTCATACTTATTCCTCTTCTCTATTCTGTCATCCTTCCTCCCCCCTGCACGGTCAATTACCTGAGTGATGGTCAGAGTGGTCCTGTTGACCTGCTGTGCCTGCAGAGCAGCTTGGGCCCGGGCCTTAACTACATGGGAGCAGAGGAGGGGTCCAAGGGACCCAAATTCTGCCCGATAGGCATCCTGATTGTCAGGTGGTGGGCGCAGCTTTGCCAGTACAGGGGCACAGTGCTTCTGCAGAGAGAAGACACACAAAAAAAAGGTAGAATGAGGGCTGGGACTCTCAGAAGTGTGGTGAAGGTGTGAAAAAGGATATATCGATTGTTTCATATGTTCTTGTTGGAGGCCGAACTGCTGGCATAGCAGTGCGTGTAAGAAATGCTGTGGTTTCTCGTCATAAGAAAACATAGGCACCAACTGGTGTGAACAGAGAACATGCTAAATACCCTGGTAATATCTGAGAGGTAGTTTTGGTCCATAGGACATTTGCCTTACACAGAATGGGCCATAGTGATGCAGAGCATCGGGGGCAGTGTAGTCTAGAAGTCACAGGCTGAGAGTTAAGACCACCTCTTATTTTTTATATAATTCCTTTGTGCCTCAATCTTTTCCATCTGCAAAACAGTATTGGACTCTCAAGTTGTGCTCTGAATGTATGAGGCAAAGATGGTATAAGTAAATAAAAGACGCCACATGCTTGCTAAACATTGTACTTGTGTGTGTGTGGGGCGGGGGGTGGTTAGTGGGAAGAAACGGGGAGGGCAGGGGGCTCCGGTCACCAGGAGGAGGCTCTGCACGTGGTCAGCTCCGGTTCGGTCAATGTTGCTCAGCACAGGTCCATCCAGGACACTGCGGATTCGCTCCCCCTCTTGCTGCAGCCGTGGCAGAATCAGAGTCTTAATCACCTGTTAAAAAGGAAGGGAAGAAGCCAGGGCCTTGGGGTCACCACAGAGTCTTCCAGGTTGGGGGTCTGTTGCCCACTATGACCTCATGATGCCTCCCTCCCCCAGTGCTTCCCCTTGGGGTCTGACATCATGTCCCAGCTCAGCCAGGCCTGCGATAGAGCCATAACGTGTGGTCCACGGAGTCTTCTCGTCCACCCAGCTCTGTAAGGGGATGGAAAATTAATCCAGATAAATGAGCCTGAAAGGCTAATTAGTAAGGGCGCAAGTCTCATAAACACACTTTCCTTGTAGATCGTTAAGACATTACAGATGCATATGGCTCAAGTCCCAGTCCTCTGCCCTCTGCCCCTTGTTTTCAGTGTCACTACCTCTTCCCCCTCCACTCTGCCCCTTATTTTTAGTGTCATTTCCCCCAGCCACAACTGACCCACCATTGGTTTGGGTAAAGCTCTCACTGTCCTGGTGATGACCCTGAGATGGAGATGTGAAAGGGCTTATGCTCCTTGTTCTGGCTCACCCTAGTGAAGGTCTTGGTGATCCGGGACTGGATGTTGTTAGTGGTTGTACTGAAATGCTTGCAGATCTGGGCCACCAGGCGGGCAGCAAAGTCCCGGAGTGCCCAGTGATTGTCCACATCTGGCCGCAGACACAACTGTCTGCTCACAATGCAGGTCATCACAGCTGGAATTAATTCATGCACCTAAGGGAGAAGTGGTAAGTCAGCTAATTATGATAAATGGCTTCTTGTTGGTAATAGGACTCCAAACCCTGGGATGAGAGAGAGGTGGGTGGGCAGGACCACTCACGTATTTCTCTAGATACAGTGTAGGGTTATCCATCAGTGCCTTCACCATCCGCATCAAATAGATAAGCAGGGCCAGGTTGTTCTGCACCACGTTCACACGGACCTACAAGAGGGAGAAATGACAGGGCAGAGAGACCTTTAGATGAGCATCCCCTGCTAAACTCACCCCCTGGAACCTCATCCTAGGGCCTGGCCTTCCTGAATCCTCTCACCCCCTCTGAGATGAAGGTGCTGAACCGTGGCAGCATCTGATAGAGTCCTGGGTCTGTTGCGATGCTCTGAAGGGCTTCCTGTGGGAGGAGGAGAGCGAGTGAGGTGGGGGGCAGATACCATGGGAGGAATTTATGGGGCCTCCAAGAGAAGGAATCTTGAGGTAAAGGCAGGATAGTGGGGCCTAACCGCTCTCTTGGCTTCACATGACCCCACACAGGCTTCGGTGATCTCCTTGTAGTACAGCTGCTGCTCCACAGACAACTCATGGATACTTCGAGGCTTTAGTCGCAAAGGGCCCCCCTCCAGCAGGGGTGGTGCCTTCTTCTCTTTCCCTGTGTGAATTGGGAAAATGTGTTTTAAAAAGAAAGCTCCAGAAGAGGCCTTGGTACCAGACAAACCATGACCCTCCACTCCCCTACCCAGGGAGACCTGGCTTTCCCTTGAGGATACTTGATCCCTTCTGGGGCTCTCTGGCTGACCTCACCCACTTCACAAATGACCATCTGGCTTTGGAACAAGAGCCAGAAGAGTCCTAGCCGTACTGACCTTTGCCATCAGCTGGAGTGGCCCCCTGACCTTTGCCTTTCAAGGGTCCATCTTCTTCCTGGCCTGGCTTTGCTGACTTAAGGGGTTCTGTGGCCTCAGCCTTCTGCTGCTCTTTGGGAGCTGGTAGGAAAGCAGTCAGTCACAACAAGAGTAATGAGAGCAATAGATGTAAAGGAAGAAGGTGGGGAGAGTGGAGGGTGGGCTCTCAGCATCAAGGTTACCTGGGGGTGGATTCTCTGGGATAGCTGGCTGGCAACCTTCAATGCTCAACCAATGAGCTGTGAGGAAGGAAGGTGTCAAGTTGAACTGCTGGACATGGATACTAGGGAGTCCCTCTACACTAAGGAATGTGTGTTTTCATTCCTGTTCCCACTTCCTGCAACTCACCAGGGATCTCACACTGAGAGTTTCATCCTTGTGAGCTTCCTCAAACCTATAAGCATTGCTGCTCCTTCCCCTCTTCCCCCACCACCCTGCTCTTCTTTCCTCCAACCTTTGAGGCAGACGTCCAGGGGCACCCGGGGCAAAGGGGTATTGATGATGTCACTCAGGTCAACCTCCTTCTCTTCATAGAAGTAAAGTTCGCGGCCCCCACCGGAGGCGAACCGGAAAGGAATGAACTCTTGAGCATGGAAGCCATACAATGGCTGTTATCAGGAGAAAGAGAGACAGACAAACACTGGGATGAGAAGGGAGCCCGTGAAGGCGTTGCTGAAAGCAAATGCAATATCTGGAAGGACTGCTCTCACCACCCTCCCCTCCCCAACCCCAGCCCGTCTCAGTCCGGTGTGTCTCAATTACCTCAACATTCTTTAGCTTCAACGCGTAGTCAATGTCACTGGTGGTGAGCTTCTGCCGCTTCCCCATGTGCATGAACTTTAAGGCATCCTGGGGATGGGAGAACGAATGTCAGCCTGAGATCATGAGGAAGAGGGGGGCCTGTGCAGCATCCTCAATACAATGCAGGACTGGGTAGAGGGCCCAGATTACCTGTGCAATCTCCTTGATGCGGTAGCTGACTTCATCTGTCAGCAGCTGGCAGGTTTCCTCCTGAATCTGGGCGATACCCATCGACTCAGCCACCACCTTCATTGACTCCGAGGGCAACACAGTATTGCTGAGCTTCAGCTTCTTTTCCTCAGCCATTCTGGAGCCCCTCCTCCCTCCCCCAAAAGGATGATGCCCCAGGATGGAGAGATGGAGACCCTGGCAGGGGGATAGGGTGGACAAAAGAGATAAAAAGAAACATGAGATCCAAAGAAGAGGGGCTGTCTGCTCAGGAGAGGCCACAACAAATGGAGGATAATAAGGATGTGAGGAGGGAAGAACCTGTGGGTGTCTTCTGTTCATCCCCACATGAGTCAGCACTGGGTGTTACAGGAGGTAATAATCTGATCCAATTCAACATAATTTATTGAACTCTGATTCAATGCTAGGCACTGTTCAAGTGAGGTATAGTAGAATGATCTTGGGTCTCAATTAAAATCCCAGCCCTAGCACTACCTGGCTGTCGTTACTTGGGCAGGTTATTTAAACTGTCCCTGGTTTGGGTTTCTTCTCCATAAAATATGGAAGACACTTTTCCTTAAGGTTGTTTTGCGCATACCTTCATCTCTCGTCCCTTTTGGCATCGTTCTTCATTTTTGACACAAATACAGTATTGGTTCAATACAACTCTCCCACCAAGCCTATATACTTGTATAATTCAATTTGATGTGAAAAACACACAACCATCATGACTAATTCCTACTTTAAATTCATGGCCATAAACCTTAAATGCCTACTAACAGGCAAGCATACTATACCTCAATGCACTCAGTCTCCCTCTGTCCTACATGACACCTTTTCTCCTTCCTCAGTTTTGGCCATCAGAAGGGACCTCCAGACTCTCACCACATGTCCACCCACCTAGTATTACCAGTGTCCATATACTCTGCCTTTTCACCTGTTACTATAAAGAAACTCTTCATGCCTGTGACTACCTCCAGCATTGTTCCAGCATTTCTCCCATCTCCCTGCATCAATTTCTCAACCTACCAGATAATTTCCACCAGCCTACAAAATGCAGTTATCTCTCCTATTTAAAAAAAAAAAGTGATTTATGTGCCCAATGGAATACTATACAGCCTTAAAAAGGAAATTCTGATACATACTACAACATGGATGAACCCTAAGGACACTATGCTGAGTGAAATAAGCCAGTCACAAAAGGACAAATATAGTATGATTCCACTTGCGTGAAGGTCTTAGAGCAATCAAATCAGAGTCAGGAAGTAGAATGGTAGTTGCCAGGAACTGCAGGAGGGGAGATGGGAAGTGAAATTCTGTTTAATAGGGACAGAATTTCAGTTTTATAACATGAAGAATTCTAGAGATGGATGGTGATGAAAATCACACAACAATGTGAATGTATCTAATGCCACTAAACTACATTTAAAAATGGTTAAGATGGCCCTGGTCGGTTTTGCTCAGTGGTTAGAGCGTCGGCCCATAGACCAATGAGTCGTGGGTTCAATTCCAGTCAAGGGGACGTACCTTGGTTGCAATTAGTCCCCGGCCCTGGTTGGGGTCATGTGGGACGCAGCCACTCGTGTCCTTTTCATGTCAATGTTTTTCTCTCTCCCCCTCCCACTTTATCTGAACAAAAATGGAAAAATGTCCTTGAGTGAGGATTAAAAAAAAAAAAAGGTTAAGATGGTGAGTTTTATATCGTGTATTTTACCAAATTATAGATATTTTTACTTCACTTTATATGATATACCCCATTTTTTTACTCCGCCTTGCAATAAACTCCCTGAAAAAGTTGTCTTAACTTTCATTCTAGTCTTCTGTCTCTTAAACCTACTCCAATCAGGCTTTTGACCCCTAGATCTCTGAAACCTCTCATCCAAATCACGGATGATTGCTTATTGCCAAATCCAAGGTCCACTCTGTCCTCATCTTTAACCTCAAAGCAGCACATAGCATAACTGACTACTACCTTCTGAAAACTACTCCACTGTGGCAACAACTTCTGGTTTTCCTCCTACTTCACTGGCCATTACCTCTTTATTTTCTTTTACTGGTTCCTCCTCCTCACCTGCTTAATGTTGGAATGTCCTGGGCTCAGTCCTTAGTCGTCTTCTTTAGCTACACTTACTCACTTGGTGATCTCAACCTCACTGTTTTCAAAATCACTTATAGGCTGATGATGGCCAAATATATGTCCCTAGCCCAGAGTGTTCTTTCTAGCTCCAGACTTGTATTTCAAACTGTTTACCTAAAATTTCCGCTGAAACTGAACTACTGATCTCCCCTTCCCCACCTGCTCCAGCCTCCACTTTCCTTGTCTTTGTAGTGACACCATCCATCAGGAGCTCATTCTTTATGTGAGCCTTCACATCAAATCCACTAGGTGATTCAAACTGATCCCTCCATTCCCGCTACAGGTCCCCATCATCTACCACCTGGATAACTTCAACAGACTCCTGATAAGCTCTTCCAGCTTTCACTGCTGCTCTTTACATCTCCTCCCAACACAGCAGCCACAGTGATTCTGTCAAATTATAAATCAGATTGGGTCATTTCTCAGCTCAAACCCTATAATGGCTCCCCATTTGCCATTGAGTAAAAGCCAAAATTCTTATTATGGTCTACAAGACCCTCTCTGCATTACGTCTTGACCTCCTTTCCTTCCTTCATTTGATACAGCCCCATTGTCCTCCTTGCTGTTCAAACCTGACAGGCATGCTCTTGCTTTAAGGCCTTTGCTATTCCTGCCGCCTGGAATGCTCTTTCCCAGATGTCAGCTCTGCTGCCTATTTCCACTACCCTATGTAACACCACACTTCACCCCTACTCACCTCCCCCATGACATTTGACACAGACACACACATATATATGTATGTATGTAGTATAACTTCTTATCGTTTATCATCACTACACCTCTCCCTCCTGCACTGTGCAGACAGAGGTCTTTGTCTATGATGTTCACTGATGTGTTCCAAGAGGGCAGGCTGTTACCTTGACACTGCAGGTACTCAATACATATTTGTTGAATAAATGAATGAACTGTGAGGCTTGGAGATGTAGGTGCTCAATACATAGCTGGTACCAATAATTATCAAGATGAACAAGTACAGGCCCAAGCTTGCAAGCTACTCTGCGGCCAACAGGAAAGTGGCTCGTTTGAAGCTGGTATTAGGAAGACTGATGTCAAAAGTGTTTAGGACTGACTGCAGGGTGTAGGTGACAGCGGGTGAGGACGTGCTGAAGGCGTAAGATGGAGGCAAAAGAGAATTTGGTTCTTCTCAAACCATCCGGCTCTCCTCCCCCACTTTTCTAAGTCTTATTTGCCGGGAATACATTTATTCAACACATTCTCTGTGCCTGGAGCCGGGTATACAAGAAGCGGTCGTATCCCAGTGTCCTGGAGAACTCCTACTAACCCTTCAATACTCTGCGGTACCCTCTGCCAGAAAAAGCTCAAAACACTCGACAGCCCCTCAGGTCAGTGGAGCTGGCAGAAAAGCTTCACAGAGGAGGATTAACTTGAGTTAGATGTGTGTAGTTTCCCCAGCAGGGAAACGGGTCGAAGGTCCCCAGGCAATGGGTCCAGCGCGAAAGGAGCAGAGAGCCCACCTCATCCCCCAACATCCCTTCAATGCAAACAGTCTCCACGAGTACGAACACACAACCAACCGTCCTCCTCCGGGTCCCCACACAAGCCCGTCAAGGGGTCTAGTCCAGGGTACCACTCGACCCTCCCCCGCCAGCCGAACGCCCCGTGCAGGGAAAAAAACTCTCACCGCCGCCAAAGCGCCGCTCACCCGGCGCTCGGCGCCATGTTGGCCCCGCCCCTTCCCAGAAGCAGGTCCTGGCAGACAGGGAGCAAGTCCCTACCACTTCTCTGAGCCAGAATAAATCCTCTAGACTCACGACCTGAAGTGATATACAAACGCTGTTTCGATATCTACATATAAGGAGCAAACACTTCTGTTGTAATTACTTCTGTTTAGTCCTTCACTACCCAGCGGCCAGGACCTTCAAGAGGCGCCACAAAACCTAGGCGGGGAAGGCCGGAGAGCAGGTGACCCCACCCCCTTTTGGGTCGGCACTGCGCATGCGTCTCCTGTGCTAGGCTAGATTAAAGTTGCCGCCAAACCCCTCGGAATTAAAAGGGCCCGCTGTCTTCCAGAAGTTGGTTTGAAGGCAAACGTTGGTTGTGGACAGCACTTTGTCATGGGTCCTGTGCGGTTGGGAATGTTGCTTTTCATTTTGACTGCGTACATCCCAGCTTGGGCTGGGATGCCGAAGGAGGAGGACGATGACACAGAACGCTTGCCCAGCAAATGCGAAGGTATCTGAAGGGAGTAGCTCCTTTAGCATCCCTCTGCTCCACTTCCTTTGTTTGGGCCGGACCAAATGGGCCGTGATGGGTGGGTCACTCAACCTTCTTGAACACCTGAGGGAGGTTCTGGTGGAGTTCGGCGGAAATCGAATGGGATCAAGGGAGGGAACCTTTAGCGCTTCTCCGAAACTATGGCACTACAGTTCCCGTGAGACATCCACAGAGAGCCAGCTATTTCCCTAATGGTTTGTGGGAATTTTAATTCAGGGATTATGCGCAGGACCACCCACTCTACTTAGCATCTTCAGTGTGTGTGTGTTTTCCCCGTGCCACTATACCTAAATCTGGAGATCGTGTAGGAGTGGGGTGTGAGTCTCACCTTGTGGACATCTGCTCCACCTCGGCAGAGACACTCCCAAATTACAGGCCCCGCGCTCTCCTAAGGGGGTTTGGGGATGAGAAAATCGGCCCTTGAAGCTCATAAATGAGAGGAGGCTACACAACTGGGAGAGGTTCCCCATACATGTGAGGCTTTGCAAAGGGTGTGTACTGTATGGATTTTACAGCGAGCAGCATACTTTGTGGCTGCATTACATGCGTAGCCCAGCTGGGAGAGGGCACTTAAAGAGCTGGGCCATTGAGTGCTCTGGTTCCCTAGTTTGTCCCTTTCCTGTCTTTAATTTCTTCCCTGAATTTTTCTCTTAACCTGCATTTCAATATCACTGTTTCTCAAGACTTGGTCCTAATCTCGACTCTCCTTTCACTTGTGCCCCTACTCTGTCAGTTTTTCTAAACACAGACCCTATCTTATCAGTCCTTGCTTTAACACCTGTGCAGGCCTCCTGCCGTGATCAGAATACAGCCAACATTGTTTTTAGGTCAGAGCATGTCTTTTTGCTTTATGACCCCCCCCCCCCATCTTACATTTCCATAACCCAACTCCCATCCCCAAAGTGCCCATGATTAAGCCACACTGAACTTCTCAGCAGTCAGTGAGCCTTCTTTATCCTTTCACACCTGTTTATCCCATTGCCTGGAATAACCCTCTCCCTTCTGTATGTAGTTCTTCAAGATCCAGTTTAAATGTCACCTCCTTTGGAAGTCTTCTTTTCCTATCTGCCACCTCCCACTGTATTGTAAGCCCTTGGAGAGAGAGTACTTGTGTCTCCCAGGTCTTAGCGTAGTGCCTGGCAAGTTTTAGGCACTTTTTTTATTTGCCCCTATGTTTAGTTCACTTGGCACTTCTGTACAGGCCACTCCACTCCCTTTCTTGGGACCCATAAGGTGCTAGGTGCTGGAAAGACAGTGGTGGAACAGATGCAGTGCTCACCCTTAAGGAAATTCCGAGGCTAGCAGGAAGTCAATACAAAACCACTGTGAATGAATTTTGCATTTCCTAATGAGATTAAGTGTCTTGATTTTAATCTCTAGTGTAGGATCCATCACACCATACTGTCATCTTTTTTTCTGTCCCCAACTATACTGGCAATGTTTCATGGATAGGGATGGTGTGTGTTATTGCTCTCTATTGCTATTGTGCATCCAGAAGGAGCTCAATAAATAAATGCAGAACAAAAAAGACTTACACGGTGCTCACTATGTGCAGGCACTAATCTAAGGGCTTTACATGGATTGATTTGTTTAATCCTCACCACACCTCTATGAGGAGGTACTATTTCCATTTTAGAGATGAAGAAACCAAGACACAGTAGGTTTGCTACACAGCTACTAAGTGGCTGAGTCAGGACTGTAAACCAGGCTGGCTCCAGAGTCTCCACTTATAACCATCCTGCTCTGCTGCCTTTGCTCATCTGCAGAATGAGTTACTGGCATGTTTGTTTATCTCTCACGTCCCTTTGGATATCTAGTGTGTAAACTGCTGAGCCTGGAACTACAGGGAAAGCTGAGTCGCACTGGCCGATCTCGAGAGGTGCTGGAGCTGGGGCAGGTGTTGGACACCGGCAAGAGGAAGAGACACATCCCTTACAGCGTTTCGTGAGTCCTTCTTGGTGCTCTTCCACCTTTCAACCCCCCAAAGGAGCCCTGGGAGCTCATACAGTATATTGGGAGTCTTTGTTTCCCCTCTTCCCGCAGAGAGACAAGGCTAGAAGAGGCCTTGGAGAATTTATGTGAGCAGGTCCTGGATTACAGTGTTCATGCTGAGCGCAAGGGCTCACTGAGATACGCCAAGGTCAGACTCTTCCCCAGGGCAGGATCTCACTTCTCAGACATATATCCTCTGGGGCCCACCTTCTCCAGTCCTTGAGTGTCCCTTGCTCATCTTTAGGCTTCCTCATCTCACCCTCATGGAACTCACCCCTCAGACTCCAGTGGTTGACAAAGCTGATATGGTGGAAAGGGGAAGGAAGAAGTGGGGTAGTGGGCTGGGCTGATCTCAAATCCCGATCTCTCAGGGGCAGAGTCAGACCATGGCAACGCTGAAAAGCCTGGTGCAGAAGGGGGTGAAGGTGGATCTGGGGATCCCTCTGGAGCTGTGGGACGAGCCCAGTGTGGAGGTCACATTCCTCAAGAAACAGGTAGGATAGGATACAGCCCAGGGGAACTAGATCCTAGGGAGGTCTACCTCTGTGCAGGGAGAAAGGGACAGAGTGAGAACTGTCATTGATTGATATGTACCCAGGAGCATATCAAGAAGCAATAATGGAGTCTAATAATATGCATTGCCACTTACTGAGTACCTACTATATGCAAATTTGGGGCCACATACATTTCGGCTGCTGCCTCACTTTATCCTCACGACCTGATTACCATTTCCCATCTTACAGGCAAGGAGCTGAGACTCAGAGTTTAATAACCTACTCAGCAGAGTAGATGCTAGTAAACGTTTGTTGAATGAATGAGGATCACACATCTAGTAAGCCAAGTTTAACCTCCTGGCTACCTGCCTCTCCAAGATGGGGTGGGGAGGCAGGGAGTAAAGAGCAAAGAGGAAGGTTTCCAAAGCCTAGCAGAGCAGATACTCTTCTGACCCTTCCACTTGACCAGTGTGAGAAAATGCTGGAGGAGTTTGAAGAAGTCGTGGGAGACTGGTACTTCCACCATCAGGAGCAGCCCCTACAGCATTTTCTCTGTGAAGGTCATGTGCTCTCAGCTGCTGAAACTGGTAAGTGTGTGGGCTGGCCCCTTTCCTGCCAGGCCACAACATTCCCTACCCCCAGGACCAATATCTAACTGGTTTTCTATCACCCAACCTAGCGTGTCTACAGGAAACTTGGACTGGAAAGATCACAGATGGGCAAGAGAAGACAGAAGGGGAGGAGAAGGAAAAGGAAGAAGAAATGATTAACACACCAGGCCACCCCAAGCATGATCTGGAGGATCTTTGACCCTTGGTTTTGAGCCCCCGGGGAAGGGCAGGGGTCACGGAGAATAACGCTCTTAAGTCTGAGACCCTTGGTTTTGAGCCCCCCGGGGGAAGGGCAGGGGTCACAGAGAATAATACTCTGAAGTCTGAGCTCTCCCAGCCCCACAGCTTTTGAGGGGGAGGGGTGTGTGTGTGTGTGTGTGTGTGTGTGGTGTGGTGTGGTGTGCCCCACCCCCAGAGCTTGCAGTTGTTTTCTCCCATGTGATTTCAGGCAGGACCCTGATGGTACAGCATAGCTATGGGGAGGAAGGTGTGAGCAGTAGGTAGAGGCCCTCCCCCAACAGATGAGCTAGATGGGCCATCTAGCTCCTTAATTGAAGGTGTGTATGGAGCCGGTATTGAAGGCTTTCCTCTTTAAATATCTCTACTCCCAATCCGACCCAGAGCTCAGCAATGGCATAGGAGTTGTGGGCCTTGGGAAGGGCACTTTGCCTTTTCTAGACCCTCACTCGGAAGAAGCCAGAAGGGCATTCTCTACGACTTATATACACTGCTTGCATCCAGAAAGCTACATGCCAACAAACTGACCGAGGGGACACTGGATGGGGATGGGGTGATGTTGATAAGTTAGCTGGGGTAGAGACTTGGTCTACTTCATATTAATTTCATCGACGGCCCACCACATAATTCACAGGTGCCAAATTTTCTATATTATTAGTAACTTTGAGAAAAAAAGTATCAGCTGCGACCAAAGTTTTCAGCAACTGCTGTGCACACATTGTAGCTGGCTGATGTGGCAGCGCCCCGCCCAGAGAATAGAGCTGTTGGCCGCCGTCCTGTTAGAAACTAATGGTGCTTCGTATGTTGCAGCCCCAGAGGCTGGCAGGGATTCCTGGGATGAGGGCAGTATTTAGGCTAGGATCTGTGCAGACCCTGTCCGCGCATTCCGGAGAACGCGCCAGGATTAAAATTGCGTGGGCGGCGCTGCCTCGGCCGCCATATTTGTGTTTATGGGAGCTCGCAAAGGACAAAAATCCCTCGCGTTTTTCCGATTTCTGCTTTTTCCTCAGAATGACGCAAGGCTTAAGAGGTGTAAATCTCGGTCCGAGGTAGAGGGCGGCTTAGATTATAGTGAGGAAACTAAAAAGGACATCTCTGGGGGTGGGGGGGTGATGAGTGTGGACCTACCACGCGAGAGGAGCAAAGCGGGTACCGAAGACACTGAAGGACGCACGGCTTCAAGTGGAAGTAACGATTGGGCGATACCATCTTCAGAAGGGGGTTAAGGGCGATACCACCTTAAGAGTGCGAGGGGTGGCAAAGAACTGAGACTTGGAGGTGTCACTTAGTAGAGGCAGGGCGCGTGTGGGAACCCGAAGGTACGGGATAGTAACCCACAGCCCCACTTGCTCCGGCATGAGCAGTCGAGTGCGGACCGAGGCGCTGCGCGGGGAACCCCCTCTTAGGGTGCCTGGCGACCCCTACTCCGTGGTAGTTCTACTGCAGGGCTACGCGGAGTCCGAGGGGGTCGGCGACGCCGTGCGTGCGGACGGCTCTGTAACGCTTATCCTGCCCCGGGCCTGGGGCCAGGCCTCCAGCCACCGAGCACCCCTGCCCGAGGGCGGCGAGGCGAAGACCGCCCTGGAAGAAGCAGCTTGTGGCCCCATCCTCGTGGACACCGGAGGCCCCTGGGCTCGGGAGGTGCTCCTGGTAGCCCTGGCGGGGCAGGGCGTGGCCCCCGCTGACGTGACTCTGGTGGTGGGGACCCATGGACATTCGGATCATATCGGCAATCTGGGGCTGTTTCCAGGAGCGGCTCTGTTAGTCTCGCACGACTTCTGCCTTCCCGGGGGCCGCTACCTACCCCACGGGCTGGGTGAGGAGCGGCCCCTGCGGCTGGGGCCGGGACTCGAGGTGTGGGCCACGCCTGGCCATGGGGGCCAGCGGGACGTGAGCTTGGTGGTGGCGGGCACGGCCATGGGCACCGTAGTGGTGGCGGGCGATGTGTTTGAACGCGAAGGGGACGAGGACTCGTGGCAGGCCCTCAGTGAAGACACGGTGGCTCAGGAGCGGAGCCGGAAGAGGGTTCTGGGCACTGCCGACGTGGTTGTGCCTGGTCATGGAGCCCCCTTCAGGGTTTTCAGAGAAGCCTGGAATCCAGAGACAGAGGTCGGAAACAAGGATCCCATTATGCACCAATAAGCCCCTGGAGAGACTGGGGTCCTGTTAGGGAAGCCTCCCCCCAGCCAAGGCACTGACGTCTAGAATCGGAGAAGACCCGGTCAGCTGGAGTCAGAGGAGTCAGGGTGGTCACTTCCAGCCTTTCCAGGAGGCTGGTTTTCCAGTGAGGACAGAGTGCTTGTGCCAGTGCTGTGACCAATATCACTATTTCTGTAACCAAACTAGGACCAAGGACTGGATCAGCTGTATGCCACTTCTGGGGGCTTCATGAATAAAATAGGAGAATGTTCTTGGGAGAGTTGTCCCAAATAAAAATAAGTTGCACAGAAAACCTCATACTGTCTTAATGTACGTGTGAAGCATTAATAATGACAGTCATGCAAATGTAATAAACAACAACAGCTTTGGCCAACTGCTTATTTCTCATGGGATGCAGGTTGCTGAGAGAAGGTGCAGGATATAGAAGTAACAACATAGTCATCTGACTTTAATTTATCCTGTGAATACTTATTAAACTCCTGCTATGTCTCAAGCACTGCTCTAGGTCACTGGGATACGACAGTGAGCAAGTTAGACCAACTTCCTGTACCTCATAGATATTACATTTTATTTAGACAGACAAGTAAACAAAAATAATAGTAGTAAACCAAATAATTACAGGTTGTGGTTAGTAATATGAGAAAAAAAACAGGCTGAGAAGGCGATAGATTGCTAAGATGGGAGAATGGTCAGGGAAAGCCTCTCAGGAGATGATGTTTGATCAGAGAACTGAATGAGAAAGCTGGTCATATGAGGATCTGGTATTCTAGGCACTGGAACAGCAGATATAAAGGCCCTGAGGTAGGACAGCTTGGCATGAAGTTGCATAGTTAGGCAGGGCCATTATGCAGGGCCTTGTGGAACATGGTAAAGAATTTGGAATTTTTACTGAGATTGAAGGCTTTGGCTTTTGAGCAGGCCAATGACCTGGTCTCATTTATGTTGTAAGATAATTACACTTGTTCTTAATGGAGATGGGGTTGGAATGGAGCAAAAACTGAATTAGCTGTGGTTAGGAAGCTATTGCAGTCTTCCAGGTGAGAGAATTTGATGGCACCGGGCCCATATCCCAGAAGTCCTATTATAGCTGTGATCCTTTTTGTAATTGTCCCAGTCCCCATGCCCTCTATCTGCACAGCTCTAGGAATGGCAGAGCCCTTAGGTGTGGCGGATGAAGAAGAGGAAGTTCACCTTGTGGATGATGAGCCTCCCTGGATGGATGCTGTTGGGCAAGGCCAGGCTGGAAGTCATTTCCCAGGCATTCATAAAGGCCACACACAGGTCAGCAAAGGCAGCTCAGAGGAGCTGGTTCACCTGGAAAACTAGTGGTGTTGAGCAGCTTGATGACCACGAGAATGCAACCACAACTGCTCAAATCCCTATCAGTCAGATAAAGATGGACACAGGGAAGGTGATAAAGTAGACTCCCAGCACTACCATGGAGTGCAGGGAGGCCACTGGTGTGCAAAGGGTGTGCAGAAACCAGCTGTGGGCCTGCCAGGGCAGCAGTATGCCCTGAATGGTCTTTATATCCACAGGGGCCCTGTCTGATATGTGGGTTGTAGGTAGATCCAATGGCTTCAGGACAAGAGAGAAGTCAGGGGTTATTTAAAGCTATGCATTCCTATCTTGTACAAACATAAATTCCAGTCCTGACCTACTTTCCAGGACATAGGTATTGTGCTCATTACTCAGGCCTGGTCATTCAGGGGCAGCACATCTCTTTGCCCACACTGACTGTCTTCAGGATGGACAGATCACCTAAACTAGTTCAGTCTTGGTAATCTTAGGGGTTTTGCTAGAGCTGGTGGAAAAGGGTCTAGTTTTTTCCTGCGAGACTGACATGGGAGGATGGATCATCCTACCACTTGTCCAGACAGCCCACTGCTGCTGGGGCCACTAAATGGTGACTGAGAATGAAGCTAAACAGTAGAGACAGATGTGAGCAGTTAAGAGAAACAGATCTGATGAAAAGTTTGAGTGCTGAAAGTAAGATTCACCTCCTCATTAGTCACCTGGGCTCCTTTCCTGCCTAAGGTGCTTTGACCGTGTTTTCAGTTGCTCAAAGCAAGAGGAGTTCTGAATGGACACAAACACTTATGGAAATGATCCGTTAGAGGCAGTGAGAATGGTGTGGAGAGAGGGTTGATGACAGGGAAAGCAGTGCTGAAGATATTAGGAGGTTGGGCCCAGAGTGTACTATTAGAAGTCACTTTCAAATTTGCTTTTTGTGAAAACTCTTAGGAAAACTTGACCTATATGATTAGATTCCTCTACTCATAAACATTTAATGGATGCACATTGCCTGCAGAATAACCCAAACATTCTCTCCTGATCCTTTTCAAGTTAAAGTCTGCTCCAGTTTGTCTGGACTGCCTGCTTCCTTCCAGACAATACCGCAACCCCTATTTTTCCCCTGTATGCCTTTGATTCTGAGCTCTCCCTGCTGTCTTTTCCCTCTTTTCTACCATCCAGGCTCAGCTCAGCCCATCTACAGAAACCTTCCCTGATTTTTTCATCCATACTTTAAACTCTTGTAATGCAGTCTCTACATTATTCACATAGCAATAGGTAATACCTGGTGTTGGTCATTTATTCTGGAAATTTCCTCTTGCCATGGTTCCCCTTGAGAGCAAAAACTGTGCAAGATACTTCTCTGAATTCTCCAGAGCTCAGTATTTTGTCTATGAATGCCATGGAATAAGTACATTCTATTTTTCTAATCTACCTGGGTGTGTTACCTGTTTCCCAGCTCTGACTCCTTGTCCAGGATTTAGGTGTCTGTCCCTTCTCATAGGTGTTGAGCAGCTTGATGACCACGAGCTTGATGAAACTTTCCAGCATCCTGTCTACTTATGAAAACAAAGAGGTGTCTCTCAAAGCCCTCCTTATTCACCTCTTTCTTCATGAGGCTCCAGGTGTCCTGCTGTCTTCTGTCATGACCACTCATGGCAGTGTCACGCAGATACTCCCATCACTGCCATAGGATGGAGTCCCTCCTCATGTGGAGGACATGGCCAGCTAGACAGCCCAAGGTGCTATCAACAGTGCAGAAGGAACAGCTGGAGTGGCACAGCAAGTACTTAATATCTCCATGGTAGAAGCCAGAGAGTTTGGGGGCCAGAAGTCCAGGGTTGTATGGGGGTCAAAGGACCAGGTTTATAGGGAAAAAGAATATAATAGGCTAACTAGTAAAAACGCTAACATTTTTTGTCTTTACTGTGTGCCATGTGCGTATATGATAACCATCCTCTTAAAATAGATGGAGAAATTAAGTGAAGTGAGTTGGTAAATGTCAGAGCAAGCATGTGAATGAATTCCAGATTCCAGTGCCCATCCCTTAACTACTTAGGGAGAGGCTAATCCCAGTTATGGACATAACCCTGTAAGTCACCTAGTCTCTACTTCAAACCATCCCAGATACACTCACTCTAGCTGCTCCTTGGCTGACATCTGGCTCTGGATCAGAGAAAGGCCCTGAAGGAGAGCTTTGTTGGTCACATTGCTGGAGAGACAAATGTCTGTGATAAGAATGAAGACATGCTGAGCGCTAAAAGCTAGAGTTTAGGTAGGAGACTATTCATAATTTTAACTGTCTATTTTTAAAAAGCATCCCACATGGCTATCATAGATACATGTTTATAATATAGTGTAATTAACATAAAGATTGAAAGGAAGGTAGAAACCAGGTAGAAGGTGAAGATAATTTTATCAGGAACTTGAAAATTTTATCAGAATACTTCCTGAAACTGAACACTGCATTTTGGCTCTAAACTTCCTAGCAACACACACACAATGGGTTTTGTCTTTTACCTTTTGTAGTAATAGAAACATAAAAACTTGTTTGGAGAGAAATTTTTTCTTGAGTTTACATTCTAAAAAGATCAAGAAGTGGATGAAAACTCAGACAAAGCATATGACTGGAAACAACCAGACAGTTATGACTATACTTTAAAAATTACCTAAAGAATGAGTAAATTAGCTTTTATTGTCCAACAAACCACCCCAAAGACTAGTGGCTTAAAACCACAAACAAGGGTAATTTCTTACAATTCTGTGATTCATCTGAACTGCCTTGGCTGGAGCTGACTGATCCAGGATGGCCTCATCACCCTTTGGGGTGCCTCAGCTGGAATTGGTGGGACGCTGGGACTCTCTTTACATGGTTTCTCAATCTCCAATTGTGAGCTAGGACTTGTGCACATGGTGGCAGAGGGATTCCCAGTGCTAGGGCAGAAGCTGCACAGCCACTTGCACTTGAGGTCTAGGTTCAGAAATTGCACAATATCACTTACATCACCTTCAAAGCAAGTCATAAGGCCAGTCCAGTCCAGATTCAGGCATGAGGAAATAGTCTTCCACCTCTTTTTTTTTTTTATAGAAAGGGAGAAGGGGAGAGAGATAGAAACATTGATGAGAGAGAAACATTGCCTGGCTGCTTCCTGCACACCTCATACTGAGCACAGCCCACAACCTGGGCATGTGCTCTGACTGGAAATCAAACCAGCAACATTTGAGCCACACCGGCCGGGCATCCCCTCCACCTCTTGATAGAAGAATCTGCAAAGAATTTGTGGCTTTTTTTTTTTTTTTTTGTATTCTACTACAATGGGTGTGCACATGAATTGGTGATGCTAAAAGTTCACCATTTTCAATGTTTGGTTAAGTCCTTTTATACTTTCTACCATTCCCAAAGCTGCTGCTAATCACACCACACCATTCCCTCCTCTCTCCCACAAGGGGGCAGCACTTATTCACAGAGAAAGCAAAGACTGTTCTTCAATTTTCAAGACACCTTACTTACTTGAAAACTCCAGCATCTGCACCCAGATCCACTTCCAGAAGAGGAGCAGTCCCTTGCCCACCCCTACCAGACATTTTCTTTATATTCTTGCTGATTCCTTTTCATAACTTCCCATTCACTGTCTCATTCAGTCTGGCTCCCACTCTAACCACTCCACTAAAATGGCTCTGGGTGACATTGCTCATGAATGTCAAAAGTGACAAAGGATACTTCGTGCTCATTTTCTTGACCACCAAGAAGCACTTGACATTCCTTCTAGAAACTTTCATCTACATCCTCTCCCTTAGATTCCTTGGCCACACACTGCTCTGTTTTCCACTTAATGCCTACTTCCTTCACAGTCCCTTTTGAGGGCTCTTCTTTCCATGCACCTTAATAGTCTAAACAAAAAAACTTGTCAAATATTCATTGGTCATGAGAATATTTTAAAACTAAAAGGTACACCCTGTCCAGTGTGGCTCCGTTGGTTGTGTGTT